GCGGGGAGGGCCCGAGCGCCGGGGTCCCGCTCCGGCTCTTCCCGGCGACACCCTGTCCCGCAGGTGGAGGCCGCCCGCAAGGCCGTCCGCGCGGCGCAGGTGGAGCGGTTCGTGCCCGAGCACGAGCGCTGCTGCTGGTGCCTGTGCTGCGGCTGCGAGGTGCGGAAACACCTCAGCCACGGAAACCTGACCGTGCTGCACGGGGGGCTGCTGGAGCATCTGGCCAGGTGAGAGCCGGCCCGGAGCCGCCGGAGCACGATCGCCTACTTACGAGGGAGGGAGGATGGATTGTCACCTTGGAGGCGTTGCCCACCTCAAGGATAGAGGGCTTCTGGCTGCCATGATCCCACTGGTGGTGGTGGTCTGAGCTAGCAGGGCAGCTAGCTCAAAGTTACCTCCCATCATCACCTCCTCTTAGATTCTCACATTTTTATTTGAGGATGGAGACTGGGAATCTGGAAGAGACTAGTGACAGTATTTCTCTGCCAGCCTTGCCCAGACGCAGAAATCCAGATGTCAGTTTGCAGTTTATCTAGTGCCTAGCTAATCTCTGAGTAATATCCGATAATCTGATATTGGGATTGTTCATACTCTTCTCCATTCTCAGCCCAGAGCATAAGAAAGCAACGAACCGATTCTGGTGGGAGAACAAAGCTGAGGTTCAGATGAAAGAGAAGTTTCTCATCTCCCCTGGAGATTACGCACAGTGAGTCGCTGCTTCTGACATGAAGGAGCAGAGTGCATTCCCTGGATTTGTGTCAAGTACAGGAGCTTCCTCTGTTACTTGGAAAGTTTAGTAAAGACTTCATAAGTATCTATTGTCTTTATATAGTGCTCATTATTCTAAATACTATATTGGACACAAAAGAAACAGAGTCTTTGAAAAGTTTATAATCTAGTTGAGGATGGGACTTACAATACCTTTAGCAATAGAGAACAGTATATAGTGAAAGTTGACTATAATCAATTACTTAAATGTGTGGCAGAAAACTGGTGCTTACCCAGTACCCACTCTTAATAGTTTTATACTCTATGAAACTGAAATGCAGGAAGCTGCTCAGCACAGAGGGGGTAGGAAAGGACACAGGCAGCCTCATGACACCACTTTTATTGGGACCATATTGAGATTATGGGATGTGGAGCCCAAGGGGATCCCAGAGCCAAAGTTACAGAGAAGCTCACGGTATCTGTGATTCCTCTCCCCTCAGTGTGGAGGACAGTGAGGGAATGGCAAGAAATGCCTAAATCCCACTACCTTGCCTTTAAACTTGTGGTTCAGACTGAGGGGATGGGAATCTGAGGACAAAAAAGCACTCCTGCCTTAGTCGGTTTGACTCAGTGGTTAGAATGTCGGCCTGCGGACTAAAGAGTCCTGGGTTCAATTCCAGCCAAGGGCACCTACCTCGGTTGCAGACTCGATCCCCAGCCCTGATTGGGGCAATTGTGGGAGGCAACCAATCGATGTTTCTCTCCCTTCCACTCTCTCTGAAAAGCAATGAAAAAATATCCTCAGGTGAGGATTGAAGGAAAAAAAAGCATTCCTCATACCCTGACCCAGCTACATCGGGTTTTTGGTGGGTGAATAAAGGATAGCTAAAGCAGTAAATTTTATGATTGAGAATTATGAGGATGGACTCTTGGAACTTTTTATTTAAATAGTTTTGACTTTTAACCTTATAACTTTTAAGCGCACACTCGTAAGACCAGACAAGGCTGAGCCTGACTGAGCAGTAAAGATAAAATGAGCCACTTTTAGGTTTAGACAGTTTATTACTTACATAGACAGCAAAAAGAGCCCAAATTGCCAGCTTCCCAAGTCTTTGTCCCACATGCCAGAAAGGACCACACTGAAACAAAAAGGGCTGGATGACCTCAGCATGAGTTGTGGGGAGTTGCTGGGGAGCCAAGTGTAGACTGCAGCTACGTGGTTTTCAAGTCTGCGGCTCTACTCAGAAAGCAAATACCTCATCAGCACCCAGGAGTTGATAAGAAACTGTCTCATGGCAGCCTCCCCAGAAAGAGGAAGACGAGTGGGAGATGGCCTCAGAGCAGCTCCTTTCAGGCCTCCAGTCCTCTTGTGTTCTGGGAGCATCACACAGGCATTCAGCAAGGACTCTGACAAGCTGCATAAGGCTTTGCAAGGCTGCCACGGCACCATGGGAGAGCTGTTCCCCCACATCTGTGTTTTACATATTAAAATTTGGTTAGAAAACAGATCCTAAAATTGATTGCAAAGACAAATTTCCTTAATTATAAGTCAAATTTATAACAATCACAAACAAGGATAAGAATTCAAGTAACTTTGTACACGTTCTGACTGTACATCTTAGAAGGATATTTTCTAAGGACTAAAGAGCTGAATAGAAATCTTGACCTTTGTTTAGTTTTATTGTTGATAGTGGTATTGGTGTTGATAATTTTTTGTATGTGTTGTAGGATAAAACAACTATAAGTACCGTTGACCCTTGAACAACATGGGTTTCAACTGTATGGATCTACTTATTCACATATTTTTTTCAATTGACCAGCGCAGTTCAAACCCATGTTGTTCAAGGGTCAACTCCCCAGTTGCGGGTCTGTGTATGCTAAGGGCCAACTGTAGTCATATGTGGATTTCCAAATGCGCAGATCAGTGCCTCTAACCCCCCCATAAACTGTATATCGATGTTGTTGGGAACCAGGGATTTGGCTATCACAGAAGGAAGATACCAGTAAGGAATGGAGAGGATTTGATTGGGAGGTATCAGTACGAATTATTAAGAAAAGCAAAGCTCTGTCGTCTGAAAGAGCTAAAAGCAGGACACCTTTGGAGCAGAAAGAACATTACTATTATTCAGCTCTTTGTGTTCTTTTTTTTTTTTTTACTTTTTAAATTTATCTTTATTGTTGAGAATATTACAGGTATCCCATTTTTCCCCCCAGTTGATCCTCTCCACTTCCCTCCCACCCCCTTCCCAGGCCTTCACCCCATTATTAACTGTGTCCATGGGTTATGCATATAACTTCTTTGGTTAATCTCTTCCCACCCTCCACCCCTCCTTCCCTCTTTCCTCTGAAATATGACCCTCTGTTGCATATGTCAATGTCCCTTGATCTATTTAGTTCATCAGATTCTTTTGTTCATTAGCTTCTTCTTAAAGAAGACCCTTCAACATTTCCTGTAGTGCTGGTCTGGTGGTGATGAACTCCTTTAGCTTTTTCTTATCTGTGAAGCTCTTTATCTGACCTTCAATTCTAAATGATAGCTTTGCTGGGTAGAGCAATCTTGGTTGTAGTTCCATGTTTTTCATCACTTTGAATATTTCTTGCCACTCCCTTCTGGCCTGCAAGGTTTCTGTTGAGAAATCAGCTGACGGTCGTATGGGTGCTCCCTTGTAGGTAACTAACTGCTTTTCTCTTGCTGCTTTTAAGATTCTCTCTTTGTCTTTAACCTTTGGCATTTTAATTATGATGTGTCTTGCTGTGGGCCTCTTTGGGTTCCTCTTGTTTGGGACCCTCTGTGCTTCCTGGACTTGTAAGTCTATTTCTTTCCCCAGGTAGGGGAAGTTTTCTGTAATTATTTTTTCAAATAGGTTTTCAATTTCTTGGTCTCTTTCTTCCCCTTCTGGCACCCCAATAATACGAATGTTGGGCCTCTTGAAGTTGTCCCAGAGGCTCCTTATACTATCTTCATATTTCTGGATTCTTTTTTCTTTTTGCTCTTCTGGTTGGGTGTTTTTTGTTTCCTCATGTTCCAAATTGCTGATTTGATTCTCAGCGTCCTCTACTCTACTGTTGATTCCCTGTAAATTATTCTTCATTTCAGTTCCTGTAGCCTTCATTTCAAATTGGTACTTTATTATGTCATCGATTTTCTCAATTATTTTTGTCATACTCTTACTAATATCCTTGAGCATCCTTATAACCATTATTCTGAGCTCTCTATCTGTTAGCTTGCTTGGATCTCTTTCATTTAGTTCCTCTTCTAGAGATTTCTTCTGTTCTTTCCTTTGTGACATGTTTCTTTGCCTCCACATTTTGGCTGCTTCCAGGTGTTTGTTTCTGTGTATTAGGTAGAGCTGCTATGTCTCCTGGAATTTGTAGAGTGGCTTTGTGTAGTAGGTGTCCTGTAGGGTCCAGTGGCTCAGCCTCCCCAGTCACCTGAGCTGGGCCTTCTAGGTGCTTCCCTGTGTGGGCTGTGTGCACTGTCCTGTTGTAGTTGAGCCTTGGTTGCTGTTGGCATCCCTGGGAGGAACTGACCCCCAGGCCAATCAGCTGTGAGTACCAGCTGCAGCTACAGCCAAAGAGCTGCTGTGCTGGAGACACCCCTATGGGGCAGGATTTACTTCAGTGGGGCTTTGGTGTTCACCAAGCGCTCCCCTTGAGTGTCACTCGTGGATGTGGTAGGGTTGTAATCCAGCGTGGTCAAGTCTGACCATCGGGTGCACTGTCTCTGGGGCCTCCCGGGAGGTGCAAAGTCAGCCTGTGCCAGTGCCTTGCCCAGGGCCACCCAGCATGAACTACATAGCAAACCGTAGCTGGCTGCTACTTGTGCTGGGCTTGGCGGTGTCCAGGAGAGGCCAAGCTATGAGCCAGTGCAGGCTGCCGCTAGTGCCAGGCCTGGGGCCACTTATCAAGCCCTATGGGGCAGCTGCTGCTTGTTTGAGAGATTTTAGGAAAGTCCTAAGCACTGGGCTCCAGAGGCCATTTGCATAGAAAAGCCCCTGGAAATGGCCTGGATGAGCTGCAGGTGGGGAGGGGCGGGGCCTCTGGGAGTCACGGGGCAGGGCCAGAGGTGTGAGTCAGGTGCTGGCGATTCAAATATGGGGCCTGCCTGCCAGCTGTGTGCAGTGAGGGCTCGCCAAAGGAGCGATGGCCTCCGCCAGCTCTTCTGTCTGGGAGGAAGCTGCCCCTCTCGCTCTAATTTCAGGCAGGTTAGTTCCTCCCCAAGTGTCCCAGGTCCTTTCAAGCTGCTGCCCGGCGCTGGGCTCAGAGGGAGCGCATCTGAGTGAGTCCTTGCGCGGGCCCTTTAAGAGGAGCTGCTGGGACTCCTGCAGCCTCCGTGACCCTCAGCCACAGTCCCTGCTGGTTTCACAGCCCGAAGTTGTGGGGACATCTCTTCCCGGTCCTGGGCTGGGGGCCTGATGTGGGGCTGGGACCCCTCCCTCCTCCGGGAAACCTCCGCTGCCAAGATTCCCTTCCGGGTTTCAACCGTGGCACCGGGTGTGGGCCGTGGCCGTGTCTCCGAGATTCAGCCCGGATCTGCCCGCATCTCTGCCCCTCCTCCCGGTCTTGGTGCTGCTTCAGTTCCCTGGTTGCGGGGCTTACGTTCAACCAGATTTCAGGAGGCCCTGAGTAATGGTGGTTCTGTATTTTAGTTGTAATTTTGATGTGGTTGTGGGAGGCGGCGGTTGCAGCTGTTACCTCATCGCCATCGTTTCTCCCCGCTCTTTGTTTCTAAATACAACTTTCTACTGAAAGGAACCAGATCTCATTGGAGAAATGGTTAATTTCAGGTTTGAAGCAGGAAAGTATATGGCTCCACCAGTATATTGTGAGCCCATGGAGTGTTCCAGAGGACAATTAGCTGGTTTGAAGGGGTTCTTACTAGCCACATATGGGATAATTTGACTCTCAGAAAGAGTAGTTGATTTTCTTAAATGTGGTAATGGTCTCATGGTGTCATAGACTGTTTCTGTTCTCAGGGGATGCATGCTGAAATATTTAGAGTTAAGTCTCATGATATCTAAAGTCCATTTTTGCTTTAGCAAAAAGGAAATTTGTGTATAAGAGGGAAGTGGAGCCAGTATGAAAAAAATGGTAACAGCGAATCTGGATGAGAGGTTCACAGGTGTTCATCGTACTATTTTCTTTCTTGCAAGTTTGAAATGCCTCAATATTTAAAGAAAAAATTATCTACTGAGGATCTTTTCGTAACTTGCAGAGCCTGGGTTTTGGGCTGACTTGCCCTTTTTCTTTGTAGATTCAAGAAATCCATGGTGAAAGGTTTGGATTCCTACGAGGAAAAAGAGGATGAGGTGATCAAAGAGGTAAGTTAAAGGAAAGGCCCTGACGGACCCAGCCCATGGTCTTGTACCACCTAAGCACTTCTCTCCCACAGATGGCAGCTCAGATCCGTGAGGTGGAGCACAGCCGGCGGGAGGTGGTTCGGTCCATCTTAGAGGTTGGTTTCCCTCGGAGAAGCCAGAGCAGTATCCAAATCCACTGACCCCTGGTTCTCCCAGGTCCAGCATTTCACCTGTCAGCTCAGAAAACTCGTGGACTCCATGCTTCACCTGCTCCATTTGAATTCCCTTACCTGTCCGCCAGGGGGCAGGCCTTGTTGGTGGAAAAGATGTGGGCAGGGCTGGGAGGGAGGGGTGAGTTTGCAAGATGGACAGTACTCTCCATGTCAGTTTGTTTCCTTCTGGAGGGTGGGAGCATCGCCTAGGCAGACTCTTAAGCATCCTAGACACATTTTTTTCCTGAATCAAACTCAGCCTCAGGCAGTGCCAGACCCAGAAGAGGGCTCTTCGGCACCTGGAAGCTCGAGAGGGACAAACAGGTAAGATTGTAAGGGAACCTCTCATCGGGAATTTGACCTGTTAGAGCGTTCAGTAACTTTTTGGCTGGAATATGAAAACAAATCTTATCTTTGCTATCCTCTTGGCTCAGGGATCTCGTTTGCCTGCCTGGCTCCTGTTTGTCTTTTTCAGTCAAATAGCCTCCACCTCACAGTGGCCCTCATGCTTGGACCTGCCACCAGCCCCAGAGCTTGACTGGATGGAGACAGGACAACCTCTGACATTTATTGGTCATCAGGTACAGTGGATAAGCCAGCCAAGAGAGCCAATGCCCCCTCAGCATCCAGGACACCCGTCCCTCCTGGTTTCCTACCCATTTGTGTCTTCTCTGCAGGTTTTTCTCTTGCTGCACTGTTCCATAGTATAGCGTTTTCAGACATGTGCCCTCACTGCCACTTAGGAGTGCCAACACGTAAATTGCGTCCTCTGGAGAACCCATTGTTCCAGTTTAATACATTTATAGGTATCCCACAGGCATCTGTAATTAACCCCCCTCCTACATTTGCAGTAACACAGACGCAGACCCTTATCCTATCAAGTATGTCTGTTTTGTCTCAATACAAGTTGACCTCTTGGAACAGTTCCCACTCCTCCCTGCAGTCCTGCTTCAAACAGACTTGTTGCATCACCTGCTGTCTTTGTATGGTCTGTATGTACACCAGCTGTAGTCTTCCTTTTTGCAGATGCAGTTGCCACTGCCTTAAGTAATACGTTTTCCTTCCCTCCTCACCTATTTAACACTAAACTTCTTCAGCTCTTAGCTCAAATGTCACTTTTTCTGGCTTGAGGTCCTCTCTTATAAATGGATGTAGTACCATGTAAAAACCTGAACATAACTTATGCTTAATTCTCTTCCCCAGTGATATGTATGCTGAGGAAAGGGTTTTGTTAACCGGGCATGCAGCACGCACATCTCCACTATCAAGAGCATGGGTCTCTTGCAGACAGGACTTTCAATGATTTACTGTGCTCTTAAGATTTCACATCAACAGGCTACACAATTAGCAGTGTGGCACTAGTTCCGTCCACCTCCTATGAAAGTTTGCCCTTTCTCTAGTTATGAGTATCCTATTATCTCTTGGCTTTCTATATGTAGGATATTTTTTTCCACTTCCAACTACAGGACACACCAGGAGTCGGTAACATCCACTCAGGTAAGGCCCAGGACAGTGTTTCTCAAACTAAGAAAGTTATTATTATTATTTTTTTTAATATATCTTAATTGATTTGAGAGGGAGGGAGAGGGAGAGATAGAAACATTAACGATGAGAGTCGTTATTGACTGGCTGCCTCCTGCGCGCCCGTGACTGGGGATCAAGCCTGCAACCCGGGCATGTGCCCTAACTGGGAATGGAACCGTGATCTCCTGGATCCAAGGCCGAGGGTCAGCTGCTGAGCCACACCTGGCCAGGCAGAAACAATTACTTTTTAAAGTTGAGTCGCTTCTTGGCCTTTTGGCTAATATCAAATGTAGTATGTTTTCTCTTGAGAAATACCGATTTGTCGTTCCACTTATTTATGCATTTATTTGTTGATTCTTGTATGTGCCCCGACTAAGGATTAAATCCCCAAACTAACCAACTGAGGCTACCTGGCCCAGGGGTATGGTCTGTTCTCATCAGGAATATTACTCAACAATAAAAAATGAAATCCTGCCATTTGGATCTAGTGTATTATGCTGAGTGAAATAAGGCAGAGAAAGACAAATACCATGTGATCTCACTTATATGTGGAATCTAAAAAACAAACAGGACAGAAACAGACCCACAGAACAAGTTGATAATTTCCAAATGGTCAGGGGTCAGAGAATGGGAATGAAGAAAAAAAAAAAGCACTATCTGATGAAGGACTTGGGTCCTGAGTATATCAAGAACTCAAAGGTATATAAAAAGATGTTCATCAGAATGGGTGGAAGGACTTGTTCATTGCTGGTAGAATGTAAAATAGCATAACCAGTTTGGAAAATTTCTTAAAATTAAATATACATTACATTCCAAGAGAAAAGGCTCATACACAAATTGTCATAGTAGCCCAAAATCGAAAACCATACAAATGTGCCTCAACAAATGAAACCTGGCATAGTCTTCAACAACAAAAAAGGAACTGTTGCTATATGCAACACAGGTAAGTAACTATGCAAATGCCTTAATTTCTGTTTAATAGGTCTTTGTTTCCCAGGTGCCACACCACCCTGGATGGCCCAAGATGAGGAATACAGCTCTGGGAACCAACAAATAGGACCCTCCTACGAAGAATTTCTTAAAGAAAGTGAGTCAACTAATTCAAGGACAGCAGTGGGGTGTTATTTAAATCTTCCTACTCAAATTAAACCATTTACTTATCATTACAGAGGAAAAACAGAAGTTGAAGAAACTGCCCCCAGACAGAGTTGGGGCCAACTTTGATCACAGCTCCAGCACTAGTGCAGGCTGGCTGCCCTCTTTTGGCCGGGTCTGGAATAATGGACGCCGCTGGCAATCCAGGTATGGGTCCAGTGCCAGGACCCCAACCCACCACCCCTTTGGAGATCTCACCCTTTTGTCCTGTTAACCCTTCATTTCCTTTCAGGCATCAATTCAAAACTGAAGCTAAGTTGCAACAAGGAACAAACACCAGTCATATAAAGAAAAAAAACTAATGGTTTCTTAAGGCTCAAAGCCAAGTCAGCAAACTCTACCTGGGATTATCCTTTGTGATGGCCTCTCAGGAAATAGACATACCCACTTATTGATTTAATAAAGTTTTATTTTTCAAAATGTACAGCTGGTGGGACCTGTAAAAAAAATTTTAAAAGAATCAGTCTACAGTCCTGTAAAGGGGACACATGCTTCCTACACCATAAGCCCCTGGATTCTTGCTCACCTTTTGTTCACGCATCTTCTCCAACAGCTGGGGCATCCCCACCTTTGGTGTTTCTGGTGTAAATTACTTGAGCTCTGTGCTTTGACACTAGTTTAATAAGTCCTAAGAAGAAAGAATAAGGTTTTCACGTAGCAGTACTGTGAGATACTAACAAACATTAGGAAGTGAGTTTTATATCCCTTCCCAAAACAGACATGCTGAATTTGAGCATGAGAGTTTAGTAACAGACATGCCTACATTTCTTGGTGATAAGTAAAATTAGATTATCTTTTCGAAATAAGGGACCTATTACCTGCTCTTGAGATGGCCACCTTCATAGCACTTTATCCTGCCACAGGGGCCATAGCACAAAAATGGCTGCTAGGGGTGACATATTAGAATATTACTAACCAGCAATGGTTAGCCTAAGCCTATTTTTAAAAATCCAGTGAAGGGCAGGGGGCGGAGTGGAAGGGATCAATGGAGGGAATGAGGAGGGGAAATCTGTAATACTTTCAACAATAAAGATAAATTTTTAAAATTCCAGTAAAAACATTTAAGATGGCTAACACGGTCAGCCAATTTAATGCGCAAAAACCACACAATGCAATATACCCCTCTCACCTTTACTGAGGAGCTCCTGAAGGGCTGCCCTGGCCAAGGAGCCGCGGATCTTCAGTCTCTCAGAGACAACAGCTGGGGTTATAAGCTTATAGTTGGGAACTTCCTTACAGAGTTTGTCATATGTTGCTTTGTCAAACAATACTAGGTTATTGAGCTTGTCCCGAACTTTGCCTTTGGACCACTTCTGCTCACAAAAAAAAAAACGAACACAAAAAAAGTCAATGCTCCTAAAAGAATCACCCTCTTACCCCAAAGCACCTGTGTCAGAGAAACCTCCCCCCCTATTTGCAGGGCAGTACTGAGAGGGTGGCTCTCTGTTCCTTGGCCTGCAGAAACCTGTGAAACTCAGAATTTGCAGAAATTCTACAAATAGAAAGCCAAGATATAAAGTAAAGAGACCCTGGTAGCTTTTAATGGCATCAGATACATTAGCTTGGCACATCTTTGAGACTTTTGGATATGGGTTGAGACTCATCAAAGTAATCAACACTCCGTGCTAGGCATCAGGACAAATGCCTTGACACACACTTGTTTAATTTCCAAGTAGTAAGTACCGCCCCGTTCTTCAAACGGGGGGAAAGTGAGAATGGCGATAGGCTTCAGTAGTCTGACTCTGTACCCCGCAACGTTAAAAGCCACCTGCTATATGTCACTATACTACAGCAATACGGGAGGGCGCCCCGTTTTCTTGACTCTTAGAGGGGCTCACTCCTACCTTCTTTTTGGCCTTGCCCCCGGATTTGTTCACTGGGTCCTTGTCTTTCTTGGCCGACTTTCCAGCATCTTTCTTCTTTTTGTCGTCCTTGGGCGGCTGTTGCAGAAAAGCGGGAAGACCACCAACTCTTACCGCAGCCCCCGACTCCCTCCCTACTGCGCCTCTTACCGCGTCCCACCCGCCAGCCGAGCACGTGGTGAGGCAGGACCCCGCCCGCCCGCGGGGCTGCAGCCCGCAGTCCGGGAGCCCCCCTTCCAGCAGAGCCTCACCCGCGCGGGGCACCGCCGGCCCCCCGGGCCGCCCCGCTGCACTCACCATGGCGAGATCCGGAGCGCAAGGGAACCCTGCTGCCTCGACAAGATGTCGGACAAAGAGTGAAGCTACTATCTTAAGTACCATCTTTAGCTGAGGACAGAAGATGTTGGACTGGGGGGAGTCAGTTATGGGAAGTTATCAGGAAAAAGCACAGTAAACGGATAAGGTTGTTATGTAGATTTAAGTCCTCTTTTGCATTGAGTTCTAGATATAAGGTCACTAAGGTTATCCCCCTCTTCCTAGTACACCCTTATAACTGGAGATATCCCTCACAAATAAGTCTTTTAAAAAGGGTAACTTCTAATTGGTTTCAGAGCTTCTCCCATGTCTCCTATTTCTGTAAATTAACCAGCCTGAAATAATCCTTAGGCCGAATACACATATATTAGGATGACAAATTCTGTTCCCCTATAGCTCCTAGGCTACAAACCTGTAAAGCATGTTAACTATACTGAATACTGCAGGAAACTGTAACAC